TTTTTTTTTTTTTTTTATAATACATCTCCCTATATTGAACATTGTTGTGTACATGTACGTGGGCCTTGTATGTAAATAATAAATGGACTATTTAATTGAATGGCTTTTAATTGGTTGTGGCTTTTAATGTAAATTGGCTTTTAGGATAGTGTAATTTTAATTGAATGTTAATGCATGTATGTAATTTTAAATGGATACTTATATTAATTAAGCCAAAATTCAAATGATTAATTATATTAATTAATCCAAAATTCAAATGATTAATTATGTACATTGTATATAGGGCTTTTCATATTTTAATTAAGCTAAAATTTAAATGATTGATTATATTTAATTAATCCAAAATTCAAATGATTAATTATGTACAATGTATATAGGGCTTTTATATTTTAATTAAGCCAAGATTCAAATGATTAACTATGTACATTGTATATAGGGCTTTTATATTTTAATTAAGTTAAAATTCAAAATGTGCATGAATGAGACCTAAAAAAGATTAATTACCACTCATACTATTTTTCTTATATAAATCATCCTTGAAATGAATAAATTTACATAGTAAACAAAAATTTCAATTTCAAAATGTCTTCATCCAACAAAGGAAAAGAAAAAATTAGTCTTAGACCTTTAAACCCACAAAAAAATGATTTTGATGATACTCCTTTATGGAATCACGTAAAAGTTATTAACTTGGCAAGTGGAGGAGGAGGAAACAGAGTATGGTCTTGTAACTATTGTCACAAGAAAGTTACAGGATCGTATTCTAAAGTGAAGGCTCACTTACTAAGGCTTTCAGGAAGTGGTGTCACCATTTGCAACTCAATTTCGGATGATATTGCTGCTGTTATAAAGAAAGAACATGAAGATGCAGAAAGAAAAAAGGCTAATAAAGAAATACGAGCTAGAAGGCAAGCTGACTATTTGAGTTTGCCACCTGGCACGGATCTCTTGCAGCAAAAAAAAAGAAAACCAGGTGCTCTAGAAAATGCGTTCAACGTTGCTGACAGAGATACTGCTGATAAGCTATGTGCAAGGATGTTCTATGCATGTGCGTTGCCGTTCAACCTTGTACGCAGCCCTCAATTCAGGAAATATTCATTGTTTTTGGCAAATAGCAGATTAACGGGCTATATACCTCCAAGTTATGATGGACTACGCACTACTCTTCTTGCGCAAGAGAAGGCACATATTAATGTGAAAGTTCATCATATCAAAGAAAGTTGGAACAAGAAAGGATTGTCTATTTGTTCCGACGGTTGGTCTGATATACAGAGAAATCCTTTAATTAATATTATGGCAGCTTCTGAAAGTGGAGCATTGTTTCTTTCATCCACAAATGCAAGTGGAGAAGTGAAAGATGCTGAGTATGTAGCCAACATTTTCATCCGTGCAATCGAAGATGTTGGACCAAATAATGTCGTACAGGTCATAACGGACAATGCAAGTAACTACAAGGCGGCTGGTGGGATAATTGAGCTTAAGTATCCTCATATCTTTTGGACACCTTGTGTGGTCCATAGCTTGAATCTAGCCTTGAAAAGGATGTGTGATCCTCCTGAAAACATAGGTGCGTATGTTCATTGTGCTTGGATTTCTAAGTTGATTGCTGATTGTCAAAGCATCAGAAATTTTATTATGAATCACGACTTGGCACATGCAATTTTTAACAACTATTCATCTTTAAAGTTGTTAAAAATTGCCGAAACTCGTTTTGCATCTGGGATTATCATGGCTGACCGTTTGAGCAAGGTAAGGAAGGCCTTGGAGAGCATGATCATGGATGAAAGGTGGAAAACATACAAAGGAGATGGAAAGAGTGTCGTTGACAGTAAAGCCCGTGAAGTGAAGCAATGCATTGTTGATGACCAGTGGTGGGATACGCTTGACTATCTATTGAATCTCACTAGACCTATCATCGATTTTATACGGGTTGCTGATACGGATTCTCCTATTCTTCATCTTGTATACGATATGTGGGATTCGATGATAGAGGAAATCAAAACTGTTGTTTTCAGGCACGAGGGGAAAGATTTGCTCGTTGGTCAATCAGCTTTTTTTGATGCCATTCACGAAATTCTGGAGGAGAGATGGAACAAAAGCAATATCCCGTTGCATTGCCTAGCACATTCACTTGTTCCGAAATACTATACCGATTCCTGGC